CTGCCTGGGGGAGTCTCTGGTGAGACTGCACGAGGGGAGCCACTGGTGAGACTGCACGGGTAGAGCCACTGGTGAGTCTGCACGGGGGGAACCATGGAGACTGCACGGGGAGCCACTGGTGAGGTTGAGGCAGGGAGGAGAACCTGGGGACATCTCTGGGTGGTGTCCGACGGGGGAGACCGCCTGAGAGAGCACTGGGAGACTGCTCGGGGAGTCTCTGGTGAGACTGCACGGGGGAGCCACTGGGGACTCCACAGGGGAGCCACTGGTGAGGACTGCACGGGGGGAGCCACTGGGGGACATCCTGGGGGTGCCACTGGGGAGACCGCCTGGAGGAGCCACTGGTGAAACTGCACGGGGTGAACTGCAGCACTGGTGAGACTGGGAGGGAACACTGGTGAGACTGCCTAGGTAGCCACTGGTGAGACTGCACGGAGGAGCCACTGGCGAGACTGCATGGAGGAGCCACTGGTGAGACTGCATGGGAGGAGGTGAAACTGCACGGGGGGAGCCACTGGTGAGACTGCACAGGGGGAGCCACTGGAGGACATCCTGGGTGGTGTCCACTGAGGAAACTGCCTGGGGGAAGCTACTGGAGAGACTGCACGGGGGAGGGGGGCACAGGGACATCCTGGGTGGTCTCCACTGGGGAAATCTCCTTGAGCCACTGGTAGACTCCAGACTGCACGGAGGAGCCACTGGTGAGACTGCCACCACTGGTGAGACTGCACGGGAGGGAGCCACTGGTGAGACTGCACGGGGGGGGGCACAGGGGACATCCTGGGTGGTCTCCACTGGGGAAATCTCCTTGAGGGAGCCACTGGTGAGACTGCACGGAAGGAGCCACTGGTGAGACTGCACGGAGGAGCCACTGGTGAGACTGCACGGAGAGCCACTGGTGAGACTGCACGGGGGGAGCCACTGGTGAGACTGCACGGGGGGGGGCAGTGGTGAGACTGCACGGAGGAGCCACACTGCCTGGGGGAGCCACTGAGAGCACGGAGGAGCCACTGGGGGACATCCTGGGTGGTGTCCACTGGGGAGACCGCCTGGAGAGAGCCACTAGTGAGACTGCCTGGGGGGAGTCTCTGGTGAAGCTGCACAGGGGGGAGCCACTAGTGAGACTGCACGGGGGAGCCACTGGTGAGACTTCACGGGGGGACACTGGTGAGACTGCACGGGGGAGCCACTGGGGTGACATCCTGGGTGGTGTGGTGTCCACTGGCGAGACCACCTGGAGAGAGCCACTGGTAAGACTGCCTGGGGGGAGTCTCTGGTGAGACTGCACGGGGGGAACCACTGGTGAGACTGCACGGGAGGAGCCACTGGTGAGACTGCCTGGAGGGAGCCACTGGTGAGACTGCACGGGGAGCCACTAGGGGACCTCCTGGGTGGTGTCCACTGGGAGACCGCCTGGAGAGAGCCACTGGTGAGACAGCATGGGAGCCACTGGGGGGTCATCCTGGGTGTTGTCCACTGGAGAGACCGCCTGGAGAGAACCACTGGTGAGACTGAACGGAGGGAGCCACTGGTGAGACTGCCTGGGGGAGTCTCTGGTGAGACTGCACGGGAGCCACTGGTGAGACTGGGGAGCCACTGGGGGACTGCCTAGGGTCCACTGGAGAGACTGCCTCGAGGGAGCCACTGGTGAGACTGCACCGAGAGAGCCACTGGTGAGACTGCCTGGGGGGAGCCACTGGTGAGACTGCACGGGGGAGCCACAGGTGAGACTGCACGGGGGAGCCACGGGGGGAGCCACTGGTGAGACTGCACGGAGGGGGCCACTGGCGAGACTGCACGGAGGGAGCCACTGGTGAGACTGCACGAGGAGCCACTGTGAGACTGCACGGGAGGAGCCACTGGGGGACATCCTGGGTGGTGTCCACTGGGGAGACTTCCTGGATGGAGCCACTGGTGAGACTGCCTAGTGGGAGCCACTGGTGAGACTGCACAGCCACTGGGAGACCGCCTGGGAGAGCCACTGGTGCCTAGGGACTGAGACTCTGGTGAGACTGCACGGGGGAGCCACTGGTGAGACTGCACGGGGGGAGCCACTGGGGGGACATCCTGGGTGGTGTCCACTGGGAGACCGCCTGGAGGGAGCCACTGGTGGGACTGCCTAGTGGGAGCCACTGGTGAGACTGCACGGAGGGAGCCACTGGTGAGACTGTACGGAGGGAGACACTGTGAGACTGCCTAGGGGGAGCCACTGGTGAGACTTCACGGAGGGAGCCACTGGCGAGACTGCATGG